CTTTTAAGGGTGGAAGAGTATGTAAATGTCTCCCTCTACTGGACAAAAACAGAAAAAGCATCAGTCTCAGTCAAGAAGGCTAAATGAAATTGTTGATTCATATAGATTGTCCTCAGATTAGTGGATAAATGTTAGATATATTTTTCTAAAGTAGTAGAGCAAAGTAAAGCAAAATCTATAATGGGATGATTATAATGGGATGGTTTAAAAATAAACATAGCCAGGTTTCCAGACTTGAATCCAACTGAGAGTCTGTGGAAATAACTGAAAATTGCTGTTCACAAATTATCTCCATCCAACCTCACTAAGCTCCAGCTGTTTTGCGAAGAAGAATGGGCTAAAATGTCAGTCTGTCAATGTGCAAAGCTGATAGAACCATACGCCAGGTCACCTAAAGTGACTTGTTTGAATCATGAAATTAGGCAAAAGGTGGAAGAGTTCAAAGGGTCTGAATACTTTTGTAAGGCATATACAGTATGTCCAATAATATATTCAATTGCATTTCACTTTATTTAAACCTCTTACATGAATCTAAAGGTTATATATAAACTGTTTAATTAAAACTGTTAATTTATTGAAAAAAATCAACTATGAAACCTACATTGTCTATTAAGAGATGAAACATTTGTATAACATGGTGCAAATGGTTAGCAAGCTTGATGGCTTGGATAATGTCCATCATCCAGTGGTGTCACTTTACTAATCTTTTTTTAGTACAGCTAGCAGAGCACAGTTTTCTTTTTGACTGTGTCCGTTTCACTACTGTTGGCTGCCATTGCATAATCACTTTCCGGTCTACTAGTTAAAAAATTCTGTGCATATACAGCTTTATGGAATATGTCTGCATGTCAAATAGCTGCATCACTATATTCAATGCAGAATGTTCAATGCAGTTATGTAAAGCACTCTGCCTACTGACTCTAGAGGAAGGGGTGTTTTCTGGAGTGACAATACACTTCTACGTCTGGCAATCTAATAATAATAATTGAACTTTATTGATTTCACATTGGAGAAATTTACCCCTGCGTTTAACCCAAGCATCCCCAGAGTCAGTCCTCGAGGGCAACTGTCTTGCAGGTTTTAGAGGTTTCTCTGCTTTAGCACAGTTGATTCTGATTACTGCAGTTTTGGTAAATGCCTGTTAATCAACTATCAATGCAAATTAGCTGTGCTGGAGCAGGGAAACCTCTAAAACCTGTAGGACAGTGACCCTCGAGGAGAGACTTTGGAAATGCATGATTTAACCCATCCCCATGGAGAGTGGTGGGCTGCCATCGTGGGGCACCCTAGGAGCAATCGGGGGTTAAGAGTCTTGCTCAGAGACTGAGAGTGGCAGTCTGTGGGAGTGAGTTTTAAACTCACAACCTCATGATTGCAAGCTCTATGTCCTAACCACTAGGCCTCCACTCTCCATGAATCTGATAAATGGGTCTAGATTTTGAGGTTGCCAGAAGAACAGTCCTTGTCTTACTCTACTATGTCAAGGGTAAAGTTTGGTGGATATAGGATTATGTTGTGGGGTTGACTTATAGGAGCTGGGCTTTACCCCTTAGCTCCAATAAAAGAATCTCTGAATGAATACCAATAGAATATAGAGAATTCCATGCATTCAATCCAACATTGTAGGAACAGTTTGACTTCATTTTCCTTTGTGCCAATTGCTTAATTTTCCAGTGGTTCATTTGTTGCCACGCTGCCCAGATTCCTTAGCACTTTACAGAGACCATTTGACTTGGCAACATCTGAGCTAGTTCTTTTCTCCATATCTCATTCTTGAGATGGAAATTGACATGAAATTGTTTGTTTTTCTCCCCTCCATCTGGTTATATTTTAAATTGCTGTTTGAAAATCCACTCACTTAAAATAAAGAGAAAATACTCTATTTTTTATCTAGCATATCAATAATGCTGTAGTGCAGCCTTATTAGGACTATCCAAATGACATTTGGACTTGAAGATGAGTTTCTGCACAGGGCTTCTGCTTTCTGTTGCACTGTGAGTGTCGGGCACAGTAATAAACAGCAGAATCCCCAGCTGTCAGACTGTTCATTTGCAGGTAAACCTGATTTTTGTTGTTCTCTCTAGAGATGGTGAAACGGTTTTTCACTGAGTTAGAGTAGTGGATGTGGCTGCCGCCACCGCTGATATATGCAACCCACTGCAGTCCTTTTCCTGCAGCCTGTCTGATCCAAGCATTATCAGAATGACCACCAAACCCAGAATATGTGCAGGTTAGTCTGTGAGATTCTCCAGGCCTTTTAACAACTGGTTCAGACTCTGTCAGTATTTGACCACTTGCACCTGCAGAAAATTTAACAGCTTATCAATACAATAGTTTATCTCAGTTATACATTTCCTCCACTATAACTCTATGTCACAATCCTTACCAGCAAAAGTACAAAGCAAATAAAAGAAAATGACCGCATACATGTTTTTCCACATTACAAAAAGCTACTGGTTTAACTTAAGTTTGTAGCTTTATTGCGAGCTGTAGCGGCAGCTTGACTTTACACTTTAAGAGATGATTGAAAAGGGAAATTTGCATGATCCCTCCTCCTTATGCAGCCAATCACCAAAAACACTTCATAATTTGTGAACAACGCAGATGAACCATTCTTTGTGTAAATTAAATATTAGACGATGCTCTACTAAAACATGACAGGACACAGATGTCAGATTTTGTTGTTAAGCTTTGTCTGTTGTGATTTAGGACAATGCTTCTTTTGTTTTGTTTTTTAAAGCAAATGAAAAAACCTTTACAGGTGAACTTTGTAACATTTCCACAGATATGGATTAAGAATTTAAATATTTACAAGATAGTATCCTGAATCACTGACGTGTCTTGTACAATAAACCATTGTCATAAAAAACATTGAATATTAACAGCTATTGTTAAATGTCCATACAAATACATGAGGGCAACAATAGATGTTCGTTTTGAGGTGTTCATATTTACATTAGTACTTCGAATGTTGTGCAATTGTCCTCTGTGACCTACAGATCATTGTAAAAGTAAAATTACAAAAGGCTGTTCTGGAGTCTCTCAGAATGGGTTGAAAGGGAGCATGAGATTAGCAGTGTGAACATTTAGTTTACCTATGTATACTGTAGTAATAAACTCATTTCTAAGCTTTGTTTTGTGACTATTACTAATTCCTTTCTAGGTATATATAATATCTGCTTTGAAACTGTGGAATATTAGTTTTTTTTATAAAATGTTTATAAAAACTTGTATTTCACTTTTTTACTTTTTAACTAAAGGGGTGGGTGTGACCGTATCTTTACAATTAAATGTTATTGTTGAACAACAAGAAGAGCAACTTTTCACATTCTATCGGGTTGGTTTTGTTAGCCTTTTTCTCACTGTAAAAATGAATAATATCCAAGAAGAGGAGCAATAAATGACTTCATTATTTTTTGAAAATAATTAGGTCTAAAACTGCAAAGTTTATTTTATTTACAGAAACTATTAAAAACTATCAAAAATATCTATAAAAACAAGACCTACAACAGATTTTCCTTTCTCAAAGAAAGCAGATAACAACGGTATTATTTCATTGAAACATTTTTCTACATTGATTGTTTCACAATTCTGACTGTAATATAATTGGTGCTGCAGTGGTGTTTTAGAAGCATTTAGTAAAATGTCTGACAGGATGACTCATTACAAGAAAAGATTTAATCATTCCATTACGTATATAAAGATTGTGTAGGAGGAAAAAACAACCAAGGCTGAGGTTAGCCAAAGCGTTCTTCGATGTGAAACCAAGCTGCCATCTGGTTTGGGTCAGATTTACATCTACAGCTTTAACTTCCTGTTCAAATGTGGTTTTAACTGATACTGCTCCGAGGACTGATGGGAAATACGCTGCAATTTCAGCTTCACAAACATTAAAAGCTGCCAAAAAAAAAGCCTAAGCCGAAAAGACCCATAGAGATAAATACGACTTTTAATAAAAGTTTGATAAATGTAAATAACATAGGTTTACAGCACTATTGTTAGGAGCTTCTCATTTTGCGCGGTTAAACACCACATAATATAGATAAAAATAAAGATTCATAAGTAAATGTTTATTCTAAAAAATATGAAAATCTTAGACAAATGTGTAACTAATTTTTTGTTACTTTAATTTCATTTGAAATTATTCTTTTTTGTTGTTGTTTTGGGATTGTTTAATTCAGCGTAATTTGATTATTTGAGTGTTTCTTCATCATTGTTATACATAATGTATTGTTATACATAAAAAGAACGATAGATACATTTATGGACTCTTGTTTTATTTAAAAATTCATCTCTAATATTTAGAATTTTACTTTAGTTCAGTTTTCAGCCACTTTAGCTACATTTGTATTTTCAATGTTTTATTTTGCTCTTGTTTAAGTTGGCAATAATCAAAGTACTATTATTATTATTATCATCATTTATTAAAAGTCATTGATTTAGATTTTATTGGTTGCTATTTGTTTGTTACGATTACCAATCTTGGTTTTATATATATATATATATATATATATATATATATATATATATATATATATATATATATATATATATATATATATATATATATATATATATATATATTTAATATATATTAATAAATATATTTAGAGAGAGAAAGAGAAGAACTATTTTTCTCCTTCATTGTTTGATGCTTTGAATAAGCATTTGTTAACTTTATTTATCAACATTCATCTTAGTTAAAAAAAAAAATTTGTGGTCTTGTCCTGATTTTTAAATAGGTTAAATTAAATCAAATTGCCATTTTGTATAAGATCTTTATGTGTTTGACTTAAGGACTTTTATGTGAGATGTTCATATGCGCCTGAATCAATTGTATTTATTTATTTTTGAACAGGGCAGAAACATTCAACAAAAGCATACAAATACATAAAGAAAGAGGAAAATTATGAACAATTTTGTGAAATACGATATGTGAAAAAAAAAAAATATATATATATATATATATATATATATATGTGATACAGGATGATTTTATGTTAGGTCTTGAAAATTAAAACACAGAAGCAAGGAAGTTCATTACAAAATACATATCTTTGCAAAAATGCACACATTTTAAATGGACAATCTATGAAAGAAAAAACATTAAGAAAAATTTCACAGTAATCTATGTAAAATCTTAATGTACAGCAAAAATGCAATCAAAATTTTGATACATTTATCAACGATGATGAAATAAAATGATAGTTCTTTGTAACTTTTTTTTTTATTTGCCCCATCAAATTTGCTTATAGATTACAAATTTCACTTTATTAATTTTACAAAAGCGTAAATGTGTTTTATAACATTTAAATATTTGGCTTTGGTTTATTCTTGTCTGAATTATAATACTAATTAAAAAAACAAAATCTAAAGGCTTTCCGTGGATCAGTTTTCTTGATATGTATATAGATATTTTGAATCTAATTTCTGCTTCTTTAGAATTCAGTCATTTTCAGAAGAGCAGGCCTCTGATGGTGAGGACGGTGCTGAAGGCCAGAGCTTTGGTGAACACCACCCGGACTCCGTTCATCAGCAGCAGGTAGAAGTTCAGCTTGGCTTTTTCTGGAGGGCAAAAAAAAAGAATTAAGACTGAACTGAACACTGAAACCAGTGATGAAACAAACCTGCAGTAAGTCAGGAAGAGTTCAGATTTACCTGGATATATGTTCCTGCATAAATCATCTGTTTAGAGACAGAAAGAACATCAGTCACAGAAATAGTAATGCATTTAGGACTTTATCTAATGAAAACTATCAGTTTCCACATTAATATAAATTTGTTGCTATGTTTTGTGTTAGAATCAGATGATTTCATTGCAGAAACACTTTTTTAGCAGCCGAAACTTTGTAAATTAAACAGTGTGATCGGAACTCCAGAGAAAAATTGTGAAATCCGTACAAGCTTCATTATTGCTGAAGGTCCCGTTCATCTCACAGGAGATGATGGTCTCGTTGCTGTATGCAGCAGTGTAGTAGGTGCCTGTCTTGGTCGGAGCAGGGTTGATAGAGCTGACGTTGGCTTGGCCTTCTTTGGTATTTAGAACCAAATCTCCCTCCTTTGGACGGAAATCTGTGACCAGACAGACATCTGGACCAAGCTCGTCGGCAGTCTTTGGGGGGTAGCCAGGAGTCTGCAGGGGACTCAGGATGAATATGGTTGGAGGCACATCTGGACCATCTGTAAAGAACCAATGAGAACAAGATCTACAATAATCTTCTCAGCAGAATGTTTTTAAAAAGGTAAAATTCTAAACGTACAAGACAGTTAAGCTCTAAATGCTAATGATCTATAAAATAAATGTTGCAAATGTCTGAAACTCTTGCTTTCAGAAAATATAAATCAAAAAGATGTTTTTTTTCCCTTTTAGACTAACTAAATAACAAGACAACAATGTATAGTTTTAAATATTTAATATTCAAATTTCAGTTAATGTTAAAGCTAAAAAGTATGTAATTCTTAAAATATAGCATTTATGTTATGTTTCATGTCAGTGGTCTTAGATATATTATGAATTTTTAATTTTTTTGATAAACTCTTATGGATTTCTTAATAACATTTTTTTTTTTCAATTACGGGAATTTGGAATCTGCTCAATGTCATTTTTCAATGAAAATCTTCTGATGGATTTAAACGACCTACTCTCTAAAGTTGGAGAACTTTTTTAAAACGCATTTGCTTCCATCACATCAGGGGTCTGCAGCCGCAAGTGTCTCTTTGTACCCCCTACCATGGCTGTTAATAGTGATTAAAGATGATAAAGCGACAACTAATGGTCTTCAATGTAATATGTTAATAAATACTACTCTTATACATTTTATCAGGTTTTTTAAAGAATTTTTGAATTTTATTTTCACAACAAAATGACATTAAAGAATCAGGAATATGGTTTTAGATACATTTTTTTTGTCATTAGCTTAGAAAATATGTTTACTTTATACATGAATACCATGAAAAAATCCTAAATCCTCTTTTTAAGGAGATGTTTTGCACATAAATGCTTCTGCTAACTGTCTTACAAAACTTGATAATATGTATATTATTAAGATTTATTGGCAGCTGTCCATTTACCCACAATTTACCCACTATTATGGTCTCTATGGTCTCTGCCCGACGCCTGTCTCACTGGTATGTTTTTATCTATTATGGGTGCTCTTTCATCATATTTGAAAAGTCCTTTAACAAGACAGCAAGGAGGTTATAATCTCCCATCTATGGACCTCATATAATTTGCTGTCCCAAAGCAAGAATTGAAATGTACGGAAGAGGATTAGGGCCACTGAAAAAAAAAAAAAAAAAAAAAAAAAAAAAAAAAAAAGTTAACTGATATTTAAATTTTATTTAAATTTAATATGGGAAGAAAGTCAGAATTCTGACTTTTTTTCTCAGAATTCTGACTTTAATCTCAGAACCCTGACTTTTTTTCTCGCAATTCTGACTTTAATCACAGAATTCTGACTTTAATCTCAGAATTCTGACTTTTTTCTCAGAATTCTGACTGAATTCTGAAAATAAAAAAAGTCAGATTTCTGAGAAAATTCTTAAAAAGTCAGAATTCTGACTTTTATCCCATACTAAACTGAAATAAAATTTAAAAATCAGTTAACTTTTTTTTTCCCAGTGGCCCTAATTCTCTTCCGTAGAAATGGGCAAGAAGAGTTTCAGGTTTTCATTACCCACTGCCTGGAAGGATTTACAGTCTGAACTTCACATTCAAAGCCTTGTGACGCTGAAACAATCAAAATCCTTGTTAAATCAATAATGTCTGTGTAAAAATGTTTCAGGTGAACGTTTCTGCAACATTTCAATGTCTTAAATTCTTTCTAGTTCTAAGTTCTAGGATTTTTTTTTTTTTATATTTGTTTTTCGATTTATGTGTGTTTTTTTTTATGTTTGATGTGTTGTAAATTATTTGCTGCTCTCCTCTTGGCCAGGTTTGCCTAGCAAAAGAGATTTTAGATCTCAAAGGGTCTAAGCTGGTTAAATAAAGGCGACATAATTAAATAAATTCAACTTTTTTTTCTTCCTAATTTTAAAAACAAAAATAATAAGCTCTGTTAGATTTAAAATGATTTAAAAATATTTTAATGTAATATAAGCGGCTCTGAACAGCTTTTATTTTGCTAGAATCGGAATTAAGTGGCGCTTGATTAGAAAAACTGCGGACCTATGAATTAGAGCACAGATGTTTAAAGAATTTCACTTCTAATCATATAGTTGACGATTTTGTATCATCAAAGACAATACTTGCAAAGGAAGTTATTTTAGTTCATAATATGCTTTTTTTCTTAAGCTTAAATTTAAAATCAATTCTGCGGTATTTAGACCAACGACGGAGAAATATTTACCTTCAGTATCTGAGGACGCTACCAGTCTTTCTGCAAGGAAGACATTAGGCGACCGAGAAAACTGCGGAGGTTTTTATTGTGTGCAAAACTGACACTTCTCCTTCAGCTGAAATAAATCTGCTGTAATGATTTTTCAGCTAAACTTCTGCTTATCCCTTTTAATGCATGGACAAGAAAGCTACTTTACTTATTCACTGAATGCTAAACTCATCACAAAATGGGAAAAAAAAGTTTTATTATTATTACAGTAACGTATTTTGTCTTTAATTTTGGATATTAAGCAAAACTTCCTCTGTTTATTTTGTGTCAATTTTTTTTGTCTTCCAAAAATCACTTTTTTCGACCGCGAGAAAAAAAAGAAATTCACATTTTTTATGATTAGATGCTTTTTGCTATTTAAACCCCAAATGCTTAAAAATAAAAAGAAAGAAAAACGTTTTAAACAAACAAACATATTCGCCGACATCCTTATGAAAAAATAATATTGAAACTTTACCATGATTGTCGATGATTAGTTCTGACCTATTAAATCATATTTTAAATGTTGAATTGGCTACATATATGCACCTAAAAATATAAATCGGTTATAGTTTATACACATTTTCGCTCAATGGGCCTATGTTTATTTAATTCAAAACTCAAATACAGTCCTTCATAGCCTAATCCAAGCAACAATAACATTGATATTTAGCTTCATTTTCTGAAAACGTCCATTCACGGATAGAGTTGAGGAATTTAGGTGTAATTTATAATTTCAAAGTTAATAAAATCTCAGAGCGGACTTATTTTGCGCAGCCTATACAATCGAAAATCAGCGCACTAAAATAAAAACGTAAAGCTATCCCCACAATTTAAACAAATCCAATAATTAGAAAAAAAGATTCAAATAATCCTACCGATATTAGAGAGAGAGATTTTTATTACCTTACCTGGTTTAACAGTGACATCGGTTCCCTTTCCCCAGACATCGAAAGCATCACAGTGTTACATCTCAGTTAACTCCTTTGACAAAAACCTAAAGCAGCAGAGAAAATGATAGAAACACATAAGGGAAGGAAAATACAAATAGTTCTGTAAATTCTAAAATAAGAAAAAGTCAGATGGCTCTGTTTAAAAGAAAAAAAAAAAAGAAAAAAGAATAAAAAAAAAAAAAAAAAAAAAAAAAAAAAACCCTACAATGTATATACTACTATGGTTTGTTAGATTTGACTTCAGTTCTTTATGACACCAAACAGCAAATTAACTATCTGGTATACACAAATCACTGAATTAAAACCAATAAACACAGCTCTTACTTCATACACTAAAGATAAAATAAGAATTTCTTTATTTCTTTCTCTTTATTTAAGTGAATTACTATCATGTTTTTGTTATGGGGTTTTTGTGCTGGAGTATATCTCTGTGCCCCCCAGTCCATCACAGTGAGAAACAGTAATACAAAATCCTGAATAAATATCAGAGGACAATACCAACAGCAATAAAACACAGCTGATAGAGGAATTACAAATATTATTCTTTATTGCTTATACAGTAAAATAGCAAGCAGAAAACTAATTTAATAAAAATATTTTTTCAATGTTTTCTTTTTTCTAATTAATTTGTAGTTGTTTTTTGTTTCTTTTTTACTCAGATAATGATATAACCACTAGTACAAAATGTTTCAGACACTCCTTTTTTTAAATAAATACATAACATGTATATTTCAAGTAGAAATATGTGTTTTATGTAACAGACAATTTTGTCTATATGCCTTTTTTTTTGTTAGTTTCTTTTCTATGAAGCCAATGGTGACCTTTATGTAGAGATTGCATTGCAAATGCTCATGTTGTTCTATTAGGTTGCATGTTATATCCCGAGGCAAAACATTAAGTGATTCTAATTGAATTTATTCCAGTTCAGTTTATTTATCCATCCATTTTCCATCAACCTTTTCCCTGCTGGGGTCACAAAGGGGTTCACAAAATATGTAATCTCACATTATTTTACAGAGACAATTCAATCAGATTATAGAGTCAGACTGGTTAGAATTCTTTCTTTTCTTTTTAAATCTAAGTAAACCCAGGAGGCTGCATCAAGTTTATACTTGACTGGATTCCCTTCTCCTGGATGAGCATGTGGTGGCAGTAGGAAATCACTTACACAGAGCATGCATACAGTAAAGAGTTATGAGAAAAGATAACTGAACTGGCTCCAAAGGCGGCTCTATCTAGGAATGAGCAGATTAGCTTTAGTCTGTTGCCGAAAAGGAGGAAAGAGAGCAAATACATCCCAGTATATCCTGAGCCCATAGCTATGTCTAGGAAAGAAACAAAACCTGGCACTGAAAAACAGCCCAGCTGATGTTTCAATCTAGGATGATGTCACAGCCAAACAGGGACAGACCAGGTGAAGCTACTCTGGTGGGAAAAAAAGCAGAGATAACATATAATACTTGAAATAACAAACAGTGGAGAATGGTGAAACAGATATAATTAAGCAGAATGATGAAAACTTGTCCCTTTGTCCTTCAGCAGCCTGAGCCTATAACAGCATAACTATAATGATAGCTCAGAAAAACCTGAACTTACTATAAGCTTTATAATAAAGGACAGTTTTAAGCCTGCAAGTTGAGAACAAAGTGCTCTGTTAGGAACAAAATTAATAACCAGATCTCTCATATGAGATGAAGCTTGGTTATTAAGGACTTTATATGTGAAAGGGAGGATTTGAAATTCCATTCTGTATTTAGGAAACCACTGAAAGGCAAGCTACAATAGGATAATGGTGATATCTCTTTTGATTTTTCATTTGAAATCTGGCTTCATTATTTTGCTGGCTTTTAACTACAATTTATGGATTTCCTGATTGTAAAGAATCACAATAGTCCAGCCGCAAAGTAACAAATCAATGGAATAGTTTCTCAGCATCACCCCTAAACAGGATACATAGCCTATATCAACATTTTCAATATTCCTAAGATGGAAGAAGGAAATTCTAGAAACCTGTTTAATGTGTTTTTTGAATGAGTTCTTTTCTAAACTAATACCAAAGATTTTTACGTAATTATCTGAGACCAATTTCATGCCATACAAAATTGTATTACAAAATCGAATAAACATACAGATATCTATAAGTTTAGAAAGTAAATATTTCTTGTCAGGATGCCAAAATAATGGAACAGTTGGTAGAGAATGAGAATATTTTGGAGACAGCACGATGTTTGGGCAGCTGCAGGTTTGGAAAATTATTAGAATATTAATTTTTGTTGTTGTTGTTGAATAAAGTGAAAGTGTTAGGTATAGAATACTTAATAATAAGAGATTGGTTAGGTACATTGTCTAAAGTACTCCATATTCTTCAACTTGTCAATATCCAAGTAAAATGAATATTATTTGCAAGAAGGTTAATCTAAGATTTTTTTATGTTGTCATGATGGGTATTCAGGTTAGAGATTCCATTAGCAGGTGAAAAACCACACTGAAAGATAAAACTAGGCTAAAAGAGTTAAAAATATTTCTAAAGGCCAGTATTATGGTGCATTCCTTGGTGCTGTCATGATGTCTGGCACTAGTGCTGGTATGATTCATCAGCTCCGCCCTGTTTCCAATCAGCCTAGTGGAAAATCAAATGCGCATCTACACAGCACAGCGTTCACAGACCAGTGAAATGTTCAGTAAAATACAGTTCTGTTTTATGCCTCATTCTTGTAAGTTTAAAATGTTCCAATGCTCCTGAATGCACCATAGCTTTCTGACGCGCAGCGAACGCATCTCACTGGTCTGTGAACGCTGTGCTGTGCAGATGCGCGTTTGATTTTCCACTTAAGAGAAACCTTTGCAAACTCCAAACTCACGTCGGCTATCACGGTTTAGTGTTGTGTGTAAATAACAAGAGACCACAACAAATAAATCAGCCGTACCATGGTCAAAATCTTTGGATTTAATGTTGTTCAAAAAATCCGTACTTTTGTAAATTAATCTGCCAAATAACCACAACTTTTTTCCCACGAGAGGTATTTTTAAACGTTTTTATATCATTAATGTAAGAATCTAAGCTCCATTGAACATATTTTAATCAGTTTTCCTCGTCGATATGCAGTTCAACAGAGCGAGGCGCGCTCCCGCGACTGGGGATGCATATTTCGGCAGGCATGCACTTTTGGGCATAACACCTGTTGACGTCCAATCTCCACTCATTGTCCGACTCGCTTTTGTTCGTCCGCTGCCTTCTCTTCATCTGAAACATCTGGGTCGAACATGTGAGGCTCCAGACACAAATATTCTTCCTCCGATACATCAGAATGGTCTCCTGGTAGGAATCGCTCGGTTGAAGTCGAAATTTTGCTTTCAGATTTCTCGTTTTGGCTATCGCATTTAGTGCAGTAGATCGCCATGAACGCTCCCGTTCTGACGTCACGACTTCCGGGTTGGAGGGCGCTTGAAAAGTGATCAGAATCTTTTCCGATTTTCTCTTAAATGTGAAAAAATAAATAAAAAAACGGTGGTATATTTATTAGTTCATATTTTGCTATTTATATATAGGTAAGGTTAAGTCAAACTGACGGACGCTTCATAACCGGTTTAATTCGCTTTTTTTTCTAATTCTATGATTAATGGGAAGTAAGCCTAAGGGCGACGCTAGAGGGCGCCCCCAACACATTTGTCGCCCTAGGCAATTGCCTATCTCGCCTATAGCAATCGCCGGCCCTGCCTGTCTTCCTGCCTGATTTTGACCTTAATCTGCTCCCTGGTTCTCTGAGCCTCCCTAAACACTATCAGACCTGTCATAGTGTGTTTTTAAATCTCTGACCTGTTTATGTGTCTTGACTTCGCTCTCAGATTCTTGTCTCTGGATGTCGAATCATCTGGCTTTGACTGCGGACTGGTTCTTGGACCCTGAACTCTGGTTTGTCCCCTTGATCGTTCTGTCTTCCTCTGCTCTCATGGATCTGACCCTGTGCATTCCTCTGGACCACCGATTTACTGTCAAAAAAGGATTCCTTCAAATCAGCCTGGACAGATTCAGGAATCCTCTGAGGTTCACCAGTTATGTGTCCCATTTCTGTATTTAACACTTCAGAAATTCTCAAAGCTTGTTCTCAAACACAGAGTTTTGGTTGCTGACTATGGTGAATCCCTCCCGACCTGCAACAGTTTAACGTTTCAATACACTGTGAAAATGTCTCTTGTCTCTGGTTAAATCTGGATTTTCTGTTTTCTGGTCATTACAGGTGTATGTGAAATCAGAGCTGGTACATGTACATGTTATAAAATCAAAACAGTAATTAGTAGGGTAATTTATATGTGGAGTTTGCAGGCTCCCCATGACATAATTTTGTTTTGTTCAATCTTACAACTAACAGCACAAAGATCAATTTTATTTGGTCTCTCTCAATTACTAAGGCACAAGCTTGTGGGAAGGGTTAGGTGATATGGCCTCAAATCAGTATAAACCTAGGTTCGCTTGAACATCAAACATTAAATCAATCAACATATTTAAAGTAAACCATTTTTTAAAGAAAACATCAAAGTAATTTAAGCACTGAGGGCAATCTGTAAAAAGTAGGCAAAAGAAAGATATTGTTAAATTTGGTTGCAGCTTATTTCTGTGTAGAACAGTTTATGTAAAGGTGTTTAATTACTTTCAAAACAAAAGATCAGAGAAAAGCTGGTCAGGCCCCCGCTTTAGATGTGTATACCATGAATGACTTTGTCTCGGTGGATGAACAGGAGGTTTTTACTGAAGAAAGAAACAAAATAATCATCACATTTTCTATTCATATCAATTTATAGCTAGGTGATGGAATGTGAAATTATATATTTTCAAAGCCATCAGGTTTGAGGTTTACCAAGATTGTTTGGTACAGCAACCAAGTTTTTGTACGGCAACCAAACCAACTTCAGTCACTGTGCTCCTCGAGCACAGTAATAAACAGCCGAATCCTCAAGTTTAAGACTGTTCATCTACAGAAACACCTGTTGTTTACCGTTGTCTCTGGAGATGGTGAACCGGCCTTGAATTAACTGAGAGTAGCGTTTATCAGTTC